GGAGACTATGGTGTTTTTATGGTTTATTTACACAGATATACAACCTGAGCCTATGATGGAGGGGTTCACAGCATTAACACCCCAAGAGGGCCTTGCTTCCCCCATAGCTGCAGCTTTGGATTAAAACAGAAATCAAGCATCGCTCTGCCTATTTTGGTTCCCAGTTTGCTGCTTTTCTTTTAGCTCACATCACTCCAAACTCTCTGCTCTCAGTTCTGGCTTTGTCCTTCCAAGTATCAGAGGGTCAGGGGAGGGACCCCACCTATTTGCCACCTTGCACAGATCCACTTCCTTTGTTCCCCTTAATGTTCTATCACCTTACCAGGAAGCTAGAAGGAGGCCCAGGAATTAGAAGGAGGCCCAGGCATTCAGCCTAACCCCCTGAAAACTCATAACAGTATAATATAATGCAAGTGACTTCTTCTTTTTTAGAAAGCCATTTTGGGTTGCATCCAACCATACATGTTTCTCCGGAGAAGCTGCCAAACAGACTATCATGAAACACTCTTACCATAACTTTTTCTGTGCAATACATTAAAGAAACAGGCCTAAATGGGTCAGGAAAGTTTCCCAAGCTTTCCTTTTGGGATTATTACTGTGTGTTTCCATCTGCTTGGCAATTCAGCCATACTCCAGTGTGAGAAGTCTTCCCTTGCTACAATTTGTATGTGCCCAGTGTGGCTGTGTTTTATTTGGCTACTGAGTTAGTCACCATTCCATTTCCCCAACCTGAACAGCTTTGTGAGCGTGAGAGAGAGAGAGATGCTCTAAAACCCAGTTTGCCTTGAATTAAGAAGAAAAGCCAAGTGACTCATTAGTCCAGCATTCTTTTCTCACAGTGGCCAACCAGATGCCTGTGGGAAACCTGTGAGAACAGGAGCAATCTCCTCTCTTGTGCTTTCCAGCCGCTGGTATTCAGAAGCACTGATGCCTCCAGATGCCGAGGTATTATAACTGTTGGCTTAACAGTCATGTTTTCTGTGCATGATAATGTGTACTGTGGTACCTTGGTTCTCAAATGCCTTGGTACTCAAACAACTTGGAACCCAAACACTGAAAACCGGGAAGTAAGTGTTCCAGTTTGCGAACATTTTTCGGAAGTAGAATGTGCTCTGTTTTGAGTGTTACACTTCAAATTTGAGTGCCACACTTCCGTTTTGAGTGTTACGCTGAGGTCTGTCTGTTTTTGCTATTTATTTTGCATTTTTGTTTTTGCAGCTCTTTTTGTTTTGTTTTTGTGACTGTGTGGAACTCAGTTCAGCTACTGATCGATTGATTGATTGATTGATTGATTGTGTGACTGCAGTACATTGATTATTGCTTTCATTTTATGGATCAATGGTCTCGTTAGATAGTAAAATCCATGCTAAATTGCTGTTTTAGGGGTTGTTTTTAAAAGTCTGGAATGGATTAATCCATTTTGCATTACTTTCTAAGGGAAAGCGTGCCTTGGTTTTGGAACGCTTTGGTTTTGGAACGGACTTCCGGAATGGATTAAGTTTGAGAACCAAGGTACCACTGTATGTACAAGAGTATTCCTGAGGCTAGGAAATGTGAAGAGGAACCATCTCCATCGCTTCCCACTTTTGTGCCCCATGGTTTCAGTTGTGCCAGTACAAGAAGATTTACAGTGTAATTCTAACCATGTCAAGTCAGAAGTAAGTCCTGTGAAGTTCAGTGCAGCTTACTCCCAAGTAAGTGATGTTAGGATTGCAGTCTAAAGCATCGTCCCAGCCCCCCCCCATTCATGTAGCAGTTATTGGAGGGTAGCATTACCCTCTTAATTACATAAAGCAGACTTTAGCTTATTGATTTACTTCCTCAGGAAAAATGTATTTCGACTTAGAATCCTCACATTATAGAATTTTTTTATTTTTTTTTAACCTGAACTCACATAATACACAGTGAATTGATTTTGGGTGAGATATTTACTTCAGAGTTCTGTAATTAATCATGTAAGGACAGAAATAATTAACCTACATTGAAAACAGGTTAATTTTACAGATCGCACTTGGAACTTGACTAGATAAAACTTGGCGTGAACAGAATATAAGTCTTTGGTGATACTATTGTAGAAAAATCAAGCATGTTAGATGATGGTGAAAAACAAATGATAAATCTTGAATTTGTAATTACTCGTAATGTTTAAGATGCTTGCACTTAAGTCACTTTGAGAAAAAAGAATTTGTTCATTTGTGTGTGTGTGTGTGTGTGTGTGTGTGTGTGTATGATTCATTTGTCATCCCTTTCATTTCACCTCTAAGATCTGCATGGAGAAACCCCCTTTTAAAATGTCCTTACTGAGACAGGGTTTGTCTCTAATACAGGGTATTAGAGTTTGCTGTGTATGTGGGTTTATGTGAAGGATTAAGTTTGAAATACTAAGGACCAGCTTCAAATACTGTACCCTGTTTCAGTAGCAGAAGCCAGTGCAAGGACTCCTGCTAGCACATCAGGGCTTTGCCCTCTCACCTCCCTCAATCCATGCTGCCCCCAATCCACTCTGGAGGGTTGGGAGATCCCCCAGAACAGTATACAGCAGGGCGGGAAGGAAAGGAGAGATCATTCCATCAGGCAAGCCCAAATGCTTGTGCTGATGGAATGATCTCATTAGTGCTAAATTTGAACTCCACTCTAACAGTTGGCTGTTACTTAGTTGCATGATACTCGTTTGGGAAAATCTGTGGCCCTCCTGATGCCATTTAACTCTGTCAACCCCAGTTAGCAAGCTCAAGGGTAGAGATGGCTGGACAGTCACAGGTTCCCCATCCCTGCACTAAGTCAGATGCTTATGCACCCCAAGATGAAGTTTGGGTCTGGATTCGAAATGGTACCTGAAAGGTTTTGGCCAATGCATCTGTTCAGCAGCAGATTAGCAGCAATCTGGGTTGGATCCAACCTTAGACCATACCTTGCAATATTTCTCCAATGAAAATAGGCATGTCCTATTCAACAACAACAACAACAACAACAACAACAACAATAAATAAATAAAGTTTATACCCTGCCCATCTGACTGGATTGCCCAGCCACTCTGGGTGGCTTCCAATGTATATAAAAACAGAATAAAACATTAACATTAAAAAAAATAAATTACAGGGCTGCCTTCAGATGTCTTCTAAAGATCGTATATCTCCTTGGCTCGGGGGGACGCATAACTCCACACCCTCCAAAATTTCTCCAATAAAAATGGGGCTGACCTAAGGAAAAGTGGGACATTCCAGGATCAAATCAGAAACCGGGACGGCTTCTGTAAATCTAGGACTGTCCTTGGAAAATAGGGACACTTGGAGGGTCTGTTAGACATGCTTGCAGTTAGACTAGGAAATCAATGGGATTTAAGTTAGTCAGTGGTGGGGGGGCAGAGGCAGTGGTGTCCTCCCTGTGACAGTGCTCTAGTTCATGGGGATAGGTATGGGGTGAAGTGAGCTCTGGGGTTGTGGCAAAGCCTCCCAAGGTGAGTGCACTTGCAGTACCACTGGTCCCCCCCAAAGACCCCTCAACCTCGCCACCCCCACTGTGCCCATTCCCACCTTGGCCAATGCATCCCCGCCCCCTGGAGGAAGCCACTGGCTCATGCTTCCCATCAGTCACCATGGCCTACCTGACCCAATGAAGTCATGGATTGTGCTGTTTTTAATTGTTAAAGGTGCAAAATTGCTTCTCCCTCCTTATCAGGATTCAAGAACAGAATGAGGAGAGAAAGCACCATCGAGGGCTTCAGAGACCACGGGGCCTGCCTGGGGAACACCCTGCTTTTCAGACAGAAGTATAAAAATGCAAAGGTTTATTTATGGTGGCGTTTTTATTGAACGACTTGCATTTAAATCAGGACCTTAAAAATTCATGAGTTGAGCATTCCTTCAACACTGTGTAGTAAAGTTTACTGCTGTTAGTCTTAAAGATTATATAGAATTTGATATATAACTCTAGACAGTTTCCAAGATACGGTTGACATGCCTTGTATGCTTAACACCCTCCAGTGTCTGATAGTGTATCTTCTGTTTCACATATCCCCCTCCGTCCTTTCCCAACCAAAGACAATCTATCATAGCAGCAGCTATAGGCTAGAAGCAGCCTTTCACCACTGCTGCCTTTCCTCACAAATCTTGCCGAACAAAATATTTTCTGTTTGATGACAAGTGTGTTAGATCCAATACTAGGGTAAGTAAAGCAACAGGCAAGTCCTCACTTAAAATCCTTGCATCTTCCTTTCTCCCCATTGCTCCCCCCCTTTTATTATCAACCCCCCCCATTATCAAATGTAGTGTGCAAATTCCTTGGGGAAGGGATGTCTCTTTTGCTTCTGCTGCAATTGTTTCTGGTTATACAGTGCCATCTGTGTAGCATTTTCTGCTTCCATTTCTGTTTTCCCCCTCTCCAGATCCTCTGACATCCCTGCTCACCTTAGAAGCTTACAATTTAAATTTTGTCTGGAGCAGGAAAACTCCACGGTGGATCAGTGTGAACAAATGTTGCACCAGCTTTCCCATCCTGCAGTTGGGACAAGGACCAAGGTGTTTGTTGTAGTTTAGTCATTTAGTCGTGTCCGACTCTTTGTGACCCCATGGACCAGAGCACGCCAGGCACTCCTGTCTTCCACTGCCTCCCGCAGTTTGGTCAAACTCATGCTGGTAGCTTCGAGAACACTGTCCAACTGTCTCGTCCTCTGTCGTCCCCTTCTCCTTCTGCCCTCAATCTTTCCCAACATCAGAGTCTTTTCCAGGGAGTCTTCTCTTCTTATGAGGTGGCCAAAGTATTGGAGCCTCAGCTTCAGGATCTGTCCTTCCAGTGAGCACTCAGGGCTGATTAGTTGAGACAAGGACCAAGGTGTTAAGCCCAAGCCAATGTGGTTTGAAGGTAGATTTGAAGGGTGTGTGTGCAGCACTGCATAGGTAGTCTGGGTAGAGTCCCAGGAATTTGAGGTTCATAGATCATAGAATTGTAAGGGACCCTGAGGATCATCTAGTCCAACCCCTGCAATGCAGGAATATGCAACTTCCCCATACAGAGATCAAACCTGTAAGCTTGCCATCATCAGCACCATGCTCTAACCAACTGAGCTATACAGGCTTGCTTCCATCATTCAGTAAAACAGAATGTACATGCATAATGCATCATATTAATAATAATGATAAATGTCTCCAGTAACTTCTTGTACTTTGGTCTCTTGCTAGATACAGTGGTACCTCAGTTTTCAAACGTAATCCATTCTGGAAGACTGTTCGAGTTCTGAAACGTTCGAAAACCAAAACTCAATAGCCGACAGCCAGGCCTCAGGATCTTGCACTCAGCGGAAGCCGCGTGGCATGTTCGACTTCCGAGGCGCGTCCGAAAACCAAAGCATTTCCTTCTGGGTTTATGGCGTTCGAAAACTGAAATGTTCATCAACAGAGACGTTCGGAAACTGAGGTACCACTGTATATGCAAACATTGTAGCAACAATTAAACAAATGAGACCTCCTCCATTTTGGAAAAAATATAGATTCCCATGAATCTCAGAGATGACAATAGTGGTTAACAGGACTCCCCCCCCCCCCAGCTGGAACTTACCAGAGCTCAGTTCTGGCACCTCTCAGGTGGGTGCTGTTGCCATTCTCAGAAAATGAGGGAGGTGTTCATGGTGAGTTCCGGCACCTCTTTTTCTAGAAAAAATAGCACAGGTGGTTAAGAAGGAATAAACTATGAAGGGCAAGGTGGTAGTAAAAACTAAGGCTGAGACAGTTAATGGTATCCTTGCTCCCCCTGTTCACATGCTTCTCTCACTCCTGCTGTTGGGAAGAGCCAGAACTGCAAACTGCTAAATTGTCTCAGAGGATGTGCTGCTTACTTATTCCATGGTCTTATGCTTGCTGTGTGTTCATTTCCTTTCATAATATGCCATCTTGGGGGCCTGTTGCATCAGGCAGAAAGGTGGGATATGGCTGTTTTCTTTAAATAAATGAAAATGATCATTTATTCCCAAAGGTCTAAATAATGTGTTGTGTGCAAATTTTTCAGAAAGCATTTCTCTCTAGATTATTGCTATTTTTGGATTGGATTCTGTCATATACTGACAAATTCAGGTTGAGCAATTAAAACTGATCTGGTGCTCTTGTGCAACAAATCCGCTCAGCCCTCCAACTGAACATTTTGTAATAAGGAAAGTGATGGCGGAAAGTGTGCATTGGAAAGTCTGGGATAATAATTGTCTGACATACCAGTGTATAACCTCCCTGCAAACAAATCAGAATGAATGTTCAGTGAACAGCGGGCATCGTCTGATCTCCCCACACATTTTCTACAAACAAATTATGATGACGGCTCACTATGCACATGGAAGTGACTCCTGTGCTTTAGAAATATGATTCTCTTAAGGATGTTGTCTGGTGAGATTTTTTTCTAGAAGTGAAATAATACAAAAATTAATTCTCACTATAGGAAGGTTGCAATTTCTTTTGGTTTCCTGGAAATTCATGCAGCCCTTCTCTTTTACTTCTTGCACAGATATAAGAAATGAGCGGCAGAAAGTGTGGTTCTAATCTTCTCACTCCCTCTGTGCACATTCTCTGCCTTTCTAGTTATTGCTGGCACTGCAAGATCCGCCTCCTCCTGAGCAGCCAACAGCAGTGGAAGGTGCAGTGGGGTGCCACCGCTCACCTAACCTCCAGCTGGTTGGTTGCAGCTTGCCAGGAGGTTGAAGGGGAGGAGTGAGGTGCTGGGGAGGTTGGCGCAAATGATATTTGCACTCCCACCACCTTTCCTTCTACCTGCTGGTAAGCATCAGTGACACAAGCTACCAAAAATCAGGTACCACAGGAGCAGGTCGGTTAGTAATCACACCATTCCAAGTTGCAGTTAACTATTTATTAGCAAAGACATGATCCCCACAAACTTGGTTGAGTGTTAGGCCTAATGAGCAGAGCAACTCATTCCCGGTGTCCTTACTCCATGAAAATCAGTTTCCAAGACTGAAAGTCTCCAATTTCCTACAGCTGTCTAACTCCCTCCTCTCCAGTGCTTTTTACAAGCAACTAGAGATTATACCTGCTGTGCAGCCAACCTCTCTTCCACCCTATTCTTGCTTCTGGGAGACAAAGGGGGTGGGGGGTAAGAGAGCTTGTTGCAGCAGGAGGTGAAGTCACCCATGACTCTTCACCAGCCTGACTCATCTCTTCCTCCTCCCAATCTTCAGCTTCTGCCTCTGATTCTAGACTTCTCTCTGCCACCAACTCTCCCAACTCACTAAGCCTTGTTACCTCTTCCGCTTCTGATACCTTCTCTTCCCAGTCTTCTTTTCCTCCTCCTCCCTCTGACCACTCATCAGTGTCCCACCACTGCTCAGAGTCTTCTTCCCTTGGTGGTGGTTTCCCAGCTGCTGCTTCCCATCATTCATCTGCATCCAACCAGCTCATGACATTTGGGGAGTCATGGCAGCCCACTACCAGAAGCCAACTTCTATTGCCCATGAGGACACATAAACACTGGACCAGCCTTTGCAAATATGGTGCCTTACAGATAGTTTCTATTCTATATTTCCAATGTTTTTGTTTTTGCTGGGGAGGGGGCAATGTCAGCGATACTGGAAGAGACAAAGAAAATTCCATAAGCTTTAACATCACACACATCTCTTTGTGTGTGTGTGTGTGTGTGTGTTAAATACTACCTTAATGGGTGCAATATAAAGACCTGTGGGGACCATTGGTGCATTGGAAGCACATTATGGAAATCAGGTCCCTTTAGCTACATAATTACTGCTCAAATAACTTAATCATCACATTAGCAATTTCCATTTCCCCTTGTAAATATGTATCCCCCCCCCATGAATGTTACTGCCCTGATGAATTTGTGTTTCATTAAACTGAATAATGAAAATGGCACATTCTTAGATAAGGGGGTGCGTTAATATCTAGCTCTTTCTGAAATGACTAATTGGTTTGGATTATATTATTGTATTTGCAGCATTATAACATCCAGGAATTCAAATAATGGTTCCGTGCTATTTTGGCTGTCTTTCAAGACGGTTATCTGTAAAGAGGCATTAACTACCTAAACGTTTCAGCTTTTGTCAAATAATTTGATCGTGTCTTCTCTGTAGCTCTATTTCTTTGGCAAAACACTTTGGGCACTTGGGGAAGGAGATACACTTTAAAGCGTGACCTGGCATGTCCTTTGCAAAGGGTGAATTAAGCATTATGCACGATATAGGTATGCTGACCAAAACAGCAACCACACATTCTCTTCTGCTATAAATCTGATATCACATGACTCCACATGGCTGTGATGTGCATTTTTCCGCAATGTCCCCATTGTTCTGGATGGTGTCAGTAGGTAGTTTCTTTACAATGATGATGATGATATTCTTACAACATGTTACAGCATCATACGTAGTCACCAGGTAGTTTCTATTGTATGTATGCAAACATAAATATTATGTATTGGTCAGAGGAAAAATAGGTAGCCTATTTTAAACTGAATCAGTGCATTCATGGCCAAATTGGAGCCAAGCCCTCTAATGTAGAATTTAATGGTACTGTCCACACAAAAAGTACTTTTAGAATTTCTTTAAAAATACATACATTTCCCCAAAACTCACAACACACATTTTCATATTTTCATATTATATTTTGGGCTGTCACTGATTAAGGATTTTTATGATGATGATTTATAATCTGCCTGTTACCAATTTTGTTTAAATAGATTTGCATATTAACAAAACCTCAGTAGGGATGGTTTTTGAGAGATTGATAAAATCACATAATAACGTATAATTTAATAAACGAAAAAGCACCACATCCCCTTGGGTCACAAATCATTATCTGATCTGCATTGACTAGACCAGGGTCATAAACGGGTATTTTAATTCAGAAACATGTCTGCTAGGAACCATGGTATAAATACTTCACAATTTTGCTCTGCAAAAGAAAGTACTCATTCAAACAGCACATAGTTATAACTATGGCATTCTCCAACTCAGGTGGCTTTGAAAGTGGACTAGATAAATTCATGGAGTATAAGTGACTACTAACATGGATGGTTATGTTCCACTGCCACTGTCAGAGACAGTAGTGCTTCTGTATACCCATTGCTGGAAACCACAGAAGAGCACTCAGGTTCTGCTTGCGCCTGGGGGTCTGGTTGGCCACTGTGAGAACAGGTTGCTGCACTAGACGGTAGGATCAAACAGGGTCCCTATTATGTTCACGAGATCCCACCCCCCTGCGCATCATCTCAATTCTGATCATAGTAAATAAGTGGACCAGCTGATGCCAATGATGATGGGGCAGCAGTGGCCATGTAGAGAGAGACCTCTGGAAGAATGGGATCCCTAGGTACCAGGCTAGCTTGTGGCACTGTTGACTCTGGGGCTGTCATTTGAGTGTCATGATTGTGCTGCCATGTAAGTACTATGGCAATAAAAAGACACACATTTAAAAACATGGGAGATGGGAAGTAGCATTATTTTATATATTTTTTTGGGTGGAAGTAGTAGAAATTACTAGTACAATTCTGCACACACACTGCGTATACGTACCACTTGGTCTGCTTGGATTGCAGAGATGGCTACAACAGTTTGTGCAATGAGTCAAATCTACAGACTCTTTCTGCTTGGAGCAGGTAAAAGGTGGAAGGCTGCAAAGCAAGGATCGTGCTCAAAGCCACAAGTTTTTCTTTGGATAACATTCAAGAAGGTTTATCACAGCAGCCTTTAACATGGAATCTGCTTCTGCAAAGCTTTTATTACAAGCTTTAAAGTAGCTTGCAATATGAATTCCCAAAGCTTGCAATAAAATAGTGATTTACCCCCTCCCTCCAATAGAAAAGCATAATGGAAGTTAGGGGCTTTATTTGAAAGGAAAACATGATGCTCGTAATGATTTCCTTGTTCCTTGTTCCTTTATTAATTTTCTCCTAGGCTTGGAGACATCCCCGCTCATTTATAGAAACCATGCAAGCCAGGAAGTTTTTGCTTTGCGAGAAATTGTCCTGTCTGGTTCTCGAAGATAAGCATGAAACAGTTTTCAAGAGTGTAGTCTAGGATGTTATCCAACTGAATTAACAATATAATATTTGTATTTCTTGGCAGCTTTTCA